ATTACCTTTGCTATTACAATGTTGTTATTGCTATTATTATTATTATTAGTAGTAGTACAGTAGTAGTTGTGGTATTATTATTACTGTAATTATTGCTATTATTATTATTATCATCCTTAACTCTAGAACTCTCTGCCTCCTCAATTACGTATAATTTCTGATCCGCAATTATTCAAATCTACTCTTAAATTCTTCCTCTTCAAAATAGTTCAACTTCTTTCTAACGTGCTCCAGCGCCGGTGACAAGCCAGTTTTGTTTGCTTTAAAAGGCGCTTTAAAAATGTGTATTATTATTATTATTATTATCATTAATAGTAATATTCTCAGTGTCACTATTATTATATTATTATTATTATCATCATTGTTATTGATTCAAATTTTTATCGCTGCTGTTTAGATGTAATGTTTTCTGTTCCTGTTTTTATTAATATTTAACAACTCAGTTTTGTAATTCAGATTTATTTCTGCAAGATACTGTATGCCCACCATGGAGTAATGGTATGACATACCGCATGGACAGACCCCAAAAATACAACAAAACATATAAGTAAATGGTTTTCTAAAACACAGTGATTTGAATGTGTGGTTTATTACACATAAAACTTGTGATTAGTTTGAATCCATAAAAGATAGCCTACATTTTCTGTAATATCTGAACTATTACACGATAGTAGCCTATCTACTATTCGATTTGTCAAGTTCTAGGCCTAGAAAGGAGAACTGCATGCGGACCTCGCCATCACCTATCTAGCCTTTATTTTTGTCAATAAGGTTTTGATTTGACCTAAACACAATTTTTTTAATTCTCTAAACAATCTTCTCATGGCTAGGCCAAAACTCATTCACTTATTCGCACGGACTGTACTTTGCAGGCACCACAAAATTTAAAACGGCTGTACATCATCGCTACTAAATTTAGACTCATCAAAGACGTAATATTGCCTGTAAAGCTTACCATTCCAGGCTGTGATTGGCTGATGTACACAATATGGAATATTGAAGCAATTTGACCAATGACGAGCACACTTTCATAAGAAACCCATTCCAATGGTAAAAATATATGATATAGAACCATACAATTTCATGTAAACCACAACAATATTTTCGCAAAATAATAAGAAAATTAATAAAATACAGTATGGTTAGGACGACAGATTAAGTTACAAAAAATAGTAATTTCATAACTATGTATGATTCATTATAAAAAGCAACTGTTATAATTTTGTTGACAGGTAAGGGAAAAAATTTGAAATTTGGTAATAAAAATGGGGAAAATATCAATACAGATAGACTGACAACAGCAGATTTTAATTTTGATATTTTAGCCTTTCCTTTCCCCCCATGTCAATGACGCCTGACACACAATGCCAGTGAAATTTCCCCATCAATCTCGACAGGCAAAACTTCCAACTTTATGAACCGCAACAAAAATAGCTGGAAAAATTTTATTTAAAAATAATTAAAACTTCTTTTCTTGAAATAAATATTCGGCTGACAATATAAATGAAAAAATGTGTACATTACATAATAGTAACACATAACAATATGTAAAAAAAACCCAAAAACACTGTGTAAGGTGTCTATATTTGCTCAAAATCAAGAAGGAAACTCAGCTACAAAGATATATTAGCATGCCTACAAATACAAAATAAAACATGAGAGAAAAAAACAAATTTATTTTAAAATAATAAACAAAAACAAAAAAAACTAATTCAACTAGTAACTTAACACAGGATAATAGGGATACTCTAGAAACTACATGTTTTTATGAGATGTTTTTAATTGCAAGAGCAAACCTTGTTGTCGCAGGATTTGAACATAGGAGATCGGAAAGCAAGCACAATAACAACCAAGCACCATATCTACTGTTACTGTTGTAGTAGCCACTTCTTCAGAAGACACATTGCAGTCACTGACAGGATCCATTGACAAAATCACTGCTGGTGTTTACTTTGAGAGCCAAGATTTACCATTTTTTTTAACCACTTTTGGGATATAAGTTAAGTGATTTAAATTTTTAATATTGTCATAAATTATGGGAAAAAAATGTGCTCTTCATTTTCATGGGAATCTACTAAAGAAAGAAAGTTTTAAATGTTATTTTTCATTTGTTTTGGTATATCGTATACCACAGACAAATAATTAAAACACAGATCTAAATACGACATTGAATAATACGGTTTGTGGGTATTAATCCCAAGTCCCACGAAAATCAGTTTAACAAGTTCATGCTTTTTTTGTATTTGAATAAACATGACTTTCAGCGTATATTTGCATCATGTGTGGTTATTTAAATAATAAAGCATGGCTCAGGTTTGCGACAGTATTTGAGTGAAGCGTTGTGGTGAAAGTGTTTTTTTTTTCCTTGTGTTGAGTGGAACGGCTGCGTGCGGGATTGGCTGGGTAATGTCTTGTGTCTTGTATGCTGTGCCGTAGATGTCCGTGCGTTGTATGGTATATCGGGTACTGTGGCTCAGTTTCACGTACTGGTGTGGCAGTGTTACATGACAGACCCAAAACCGACACGAAGCAGGCATAAGATCGTGACCGTGAGTTTTCCTGTATTTGTTTTTGGTTCTTAATAATTAAATGTGCAAGTATATTGATTATTACTATACTTACCCTTGCTTGTGTGAAGGCCCTAAATTAAAATGAAACTTTATAGCCTTGAAAAACATTATGGAATTGTAGATTCTTTGTTATGTCATGTATTATTGTATTGTATTGTAGATCTTAGATGGTCAGAAGAACAGGAGGAAGATTGGAAGCACAGACCAATTGCTCTTTCCGATTGACCACTTGATGCCGGGAATCTCAAACTCGGGAGCTAAACTTATTAAATTATTATTATGAGGTTTTTTTGTACACCCATAGTTCTGAGTTCGTGTTAGCCACGTTATAAGAGCTGAGTTCGTGTTAGCCACGTTATAAGAGCTGAGTTCGTGTTAGCCACGTTGAAGAGCTGAGTTCGTGTTAGCCACGTTAGAAGTGCTGGGTTCGTGTTAGCCATGTTAGAAGTGCTGGGTTCGTGTTAGCCACGTTGTAAGTGCTGGGTTCGTGTTAGCCACGTTAGAAGAGCTGTGTTTGTGTTAGCCACGTTATAAGAGCTGTGTTCGTGTTAGCCACGTTATAAGTGCTGAGTTCGTGTTAGCCACGTTGAAGAGCTGAGTTCGTGTTAGCCAAGTTATAAGAGCTGTGTTTGTGTTAGCCACGTTATAAGCGTTATTATTCTTTTATTTGTTTATTACTATTATTGTTATTATTGTTATAACCAGTTATTATTGCATTGCCTTGAAGTGTTGATTGTAAATTGTTAATGTGATAGAGATATGCTTAATTGATAGTCTTGCAAGCAAAAATGTCTTTATATGCAATACTGAATACTTGTTTGTAGTACCAATCATGATAGACAGAATTGATTATCGCAATTTGTAAACTAATGATCTTTTTTTCTATGTTGATACTATGGTTAACTGTATTGTTGAAATTATTACTTGTAAGCCATGATAATAGTAGCGTTATTATTCTTGAGCTATTCATTGATATATTATATATTATTGGAGATCAATGTGTAGATTAATAATAATGAGCTTAGTAGTTTAGTGGTTATTATTGTTGTGAATCATTACACATTGATATATATATTATATATTATTGGAGATCGATGTGTAATATAATTATAGTGAGCATAACTGTTTAGTAATTGATATTGTTGTGAACTGTTCGATTAGCATACATCGATATATTAAATATTATGTAATGTGTAGTTTATTGATAATGAGCACAATTAGTTAAATATCATTGGTATGAATTGTTTATGAATGACAAGTTAATGGTAACATTATATTGTTATTATTATGGTTATTATTATATAATTGGAGATCGTTGTCCAGTATATTAATGGCAACGTGCACAACTAGTTAAATATATGATACAAAGGGATAAGGGTATAAATTGCGATAGTTAAATGGACTTATTGTTAATGTGATGTGCTGTGGTTAATAAAGTTTAACCCGAGTTTAATTCTGTGTCGTAACTTATTGCAGAGGTCCTGTCTCGATTTTGGAATTCTGGGGCAACTTGTGACAATCAGCACTATCCACACTCTTGCGAGTAAGCAAATATCTCCTAGAAACTAACGCAAATTAATTACTAATATTAATATTCTCGCTGGTTTACTGGTCACAAGTGTAACCACGGACAGCAACAAAAATTAGATGTGTTAATTAAACAGACTGTGGCTTCTCTTAACTTGGGACCCCTGATTGGTAGTTCACAGACATTGATTGAAAAAGATATTTTGTTGGATGTGTTAATTAAACAGACCTGTGGCTTCTCTTAACTTGGGACCCCTGATGGCTAGTTCACAGACATTGATTGAAAAAGATATTTTGTTGGATGTGTTAATTAAACAGACCTGTGGTGTCTCTTAACTTGGGACCCCTGTTGGCTGGTTCACAGACATTGATTGAAAAAGATATTTTGTTTGTTTTAAAACGCAGTATAATATTAACAACAGCTGACCAGAGTGGTCATAACAGTCCTTAATAGTAGATACAATGAAATTTTGTGCCAGCAGATCTTGCCCTTGCGAGTTTGACGCAGTAGACAGGTGTGCCAGGTGAGTGGGACACTTCATAGGTCATTCAAAAAGGGTCACCATTTGATACAGTCAGATGCAATAGCAAAATTTCTCGCACGCAACCTCCCTTCACTTCCTTGGTCATTGGACATTTATTCCAACCTGGAACATACTGTAACTTCCCAAATCCACAGGGAATCTCCTTTGGGCCAACTGCCTAACATTATTTTTGTTTTTTGATCTGATATGTATAAGTTTGAAGGTATAATGACAAAGGTGGTTGGGTCGGGCCTGTCCTCCAAGACCCCACCAGCTTCTCACCCATGTCAAACTGATTTTCCCCTTCCCCCTGCATATGCTAGAATCACCATATGTAGTAAAATTTTTTAATTCTTCCTTTACCATGGAAATAACTAACCTGGTTGCTCTACCTTGGTCTCCTCTTCTTGTTTTTCTGCATTATCTTTCTTTTCTTCATCTTCTGTAGATTCTTCATTCTCTATTTTTTCCCTGTCTCCAGTCTCTTCAGAATTATTCTAGAATACATATAATCGCAAAATGCAACAAACGATGCAATTGTGACTTTTTAAGCCAACTGTTGTGTAAAATAATTAAATCAATTAACTGTTATGAATTTATTGTTAAGAAATTTACCTGATATTGCTTATGTATCACTCATTTAATTTTTTTTTTTTTTTTTTTTTTGCTAGGCATTCTAGCACAAATTGCAAACAAAGGTTTTTCTTTTTTAATCAAGTACATACGATAAGGGGATGAAATTCCACAAATCCATCCCTTCTATTAATATAAAGCAAAGAAACAAGCATTTGAGACCTAAAGTAAGTTTCTATGTTACTACATTAGCTACAGAGATATTCAAAGTCAGTGAATATAAGGTCAGAGGTCAATTGTAGCATTTCCGTTCACTTTTTAGGCAAATGTTTAATTAGGGCGAATAGAAACATGCATGTTCTGATTAATTTGAAACAGAAAGCAACTCTCTGCGACCAGCGGTTGCCAAGATATGGAATTTCTATGTTTTCATTATTAATTTGCATACTGTAAAACCGGTAATTTTCGCGGTACATTTATTTTTCGCGCTCTTCGCGCCAGCACAAGCTAGCACGAATTAAAAAAACACGCGAAAATATTAACACCAACAAAAATATGCTCTACTATGTATGGTATTACAGTACAGTACACTGGGCCTAACCTTGCCACCATACGCATGTGTGCCAAGCCTTGCCTAAGTCTTACCGTACAGCAACGTACAGGCCTAGCCTAGCTATTTATCCCTAGGCCTACACACTAGGATACTGTCATGTACTGTATGTTATGGTGAACGTTTTCTTTTTCCGAATATTGTACATAAGTGATCATTAAAACTAAAATGAAGTGTGTTTGTTTTCTTTGAAAAACCCGTCGCGGATCAACGACGACATCATCATCGAGGTTGACATTTTTTATGAACAGCGCCACAAGCAAATGAAAAGCATTTTTATTCTTATCCCCATGGTAACTCCGGGAACTGTTACAGTTTTGCGGTGATGCAACGAAATTTCACACATAAATGATGGATATTTCTTGCGTAAAATGAAGGTTCTTGTCTATTTATTTGTTAAAAAGCATTTATTCATTGATTTAACATATATGACTATATATATTTTATTGGCATTATAATGAGCCAGCCTGGATGACTAGGCCTAGCCTAGGCCTACTTAAACTCTAGCCCTTGCCTAGATCGCTAGCCTTTAATTTAACACCTTCATGGCTTTAGATAGTGACGACCATGGATATCTATGTAACATCCAGCAGTAAAGAAAATATTTACTATTTGGGAAAATCTGAAGCGCGAAAACAACCCGCGAATATGTTGAAAGGGTCTCTGACCCTTCAATGTCATGTTCTAATTGATTTGAAAAAGAAATCAACTCTCTGCAACCAGCGGTTGCCAAGATATGAGAACCCTATATTTTCAACCTAATTTGCATATTTTAGCTAATTTGTATATGTTCCCGAGGTGTGATTTCTGGAATTTCATCCCCTTATTATATGTATTTGATTTAAAAAAAAAAACCCTTGTTTGCAATTTGTTTGACTTCATATTCTAGATTGCCTAGCCTATTTATATCTTGGTTTTGTGGCCTTATTTAATCATAGTTATGTACAGCTCAGGTTCTCTGTCGACTAAGAATCATATATTTCATCATTCCAAAAAAATTAGACAATGGCTACAGGAAAAAGCAAACAGGGTTTAGCCTGCTAACTAGCCATTGTCATTCTGATGTATGAACTCTAATTAGTAGTGGAAAGAACCTATGACACTAACCTGTGCATCTAGATCAGTAATTTCCCCCTCTGTCTCATCTTCTGTCTTTGGTTCAACATCCACCTCTTCAATCAACGCTGAGGGTTTCTTCTTGAGTTTGTATGTCTTGCAATGATGCGAGTAGTGATCAAACTTTGTCTTAATCATCCGTATGGCAATGTCCGATAGGGCAAGCTGCTTCGGTAGTTCAAATCCTTGTTTTTTATCCTCAAAGTTAAAAGTCTTAAATCTGTAAAGTTTGAGGCATTTAGAGTAGATTTTAAATGCAGAATAAAATGTCATACATTTAAAGGAGAGTTCCGGGTTAGAAATTTCTGTTTTATATTTCGTTTATTCATTATATCATGATTATAATGTACTTATTTAGTACATATTTAAAAATAAAAAGTGGGTTCTACTCTTAAGTTAATATAAAAATGAGGTATTTTTGTTAAATATATAAATATATAAATATAAATAAGATCAGGTAAATTTACATAAGAATATATTTTCTTCTGTATTATACACTGTGTAATTTTATTAATGCCACCATTTAATAGCCTGGTTCTCATGAGAGCCCTAGTATCCGGATCGGGAGCTAACCGTTAGCGCTTACCGTTAGCACCTGCGTGAGAATGCTCGATCGGTTAGCGCGATCAGGATCCGGATCCTGCTAACCGTTAGCTACCGTGTGAGAACATAGCCAATATTAAGGGACCAAGTTTGCAGCGCCCATTTTGCACTCCAACATAAGTGCAAACTAACTGTTCATATTCTGAATATATAAATGCATACCAAATCTACTCTACATGCCTCAAACTTTAATAATAGTTTTCAAAATAATAGTATAGTTTTAATAAATAAATTTTGTATAAAATATTTTAGCTACTTTGCAATGTGAATTTCAATCTTAAATTATTACTTTGCTCCTTTTTAAAACCAGAACCCTGCGGGTGCGTACGTTCCTTTGTACGTAAAAAATCAATGTACATTTGGGAATTGCAATAACTTACTGTATCTTTTTGAATACTGATTGTGTAAGGTAATACAGTGTTTTCATTTTCAGTCAAAAATAATCAGAGGCGGATCCAGAAATTTATGAAAGGGGGGGGGGGATAAGGGGTTCTGAGAAGTGCAGGGATGTCGTTATGC